AAATGTCTAATATGTACAACATATATAAATTGCAATAACTACAAAAATACAAAAAGGATTAATGAAAGTAAATTAAAACTTTAAATAATGTTTCGCCATTTTTTTTATCTATTTTTGGCTTCAAGGTGGTAAGATTTTGTAGTTGAAAAATTATATCATGTGGATATGTAATGACACTGGATTGACCTTGATTGCTATAAATCAATGCTAACTCCTAGCTTCCTCATATTTGCACTTAATTATACTAAAATTGAATGGGCTAAAAACTGCATACTCAACTTTTTTCTAGAGAGCGTAAATAAAAAGTGCAATATTTGAACGAAATTTTGCAGAATTTTCTTTAATTTTGCACAAGGTTTGGAACTTTGAATTTTGGGGATTTTTTTTGAATTAACCATATTTTTATAAAAAATTCGCGAAAAATAAAATATTTAAAAAATAGTTGCCCATATTGTAAAAAATTCGCTGTACCTAAACTTTATTGACTGACTGTATGTACTTACGTTTATGGAATTTCTCACCCCTACCCCAAAACTGAAAATTAATCTATACTATGTATGTATGTTGTGTTAACATTATTAAGTGTTTTTATTCAACAAATCCATCAAAACATAAATAATAGAAAAGCATTAAAGTAATACCCATTCAAAAACTCCATGTACTCATCTAAGTATTCTTCGTTTCAGAAGGGTTGCCCAAGTTGGAGCCTGCAAGAAAAATTCATTATTTTTTCTATGTTTTGACCAACAGTTTTTCTCATTATCTTTAATTTTACAGCACTGCACTTTTGGAGAGTGTGGTCTTGTTCTGGCTAATGCCAATATCCGTGGTAGCAAAATATTGCCGCAGGCTTCCCGCCATTTTTGTCTTACAAACGGAAGCGCTGGAAATTTAAACAGCTTTTTACCGTCTTCCCCACAACTCATTTTTCTTCTTATTATTTAAAAAAATATATTTTAATTTTGGCTTGTCGATCAAATTCTTTTCAGACAACAATTTTATTATAATTTTTCATTTGGTAGCTTGATTTTGATAAAAATGTCATAATCCGAGCAAAAGTCATGACTGCTAATGTCATTAAGTGAAACTACCTTCTTTTTTCTACCATGGTACTAAATAAGTTAGAGCTGAGGAAGATTTTCCCATAAGAATTTTCACCTTGGTACAGTTAAAAATGTATGTATGTAGGTACAGTATTCCCCGCTTAATTGCACTTCAAAAATTGCAAAGTTTTTAGTACAATTAAGCGGGGAATCAAATAAGGGGGAAACTATAGCACATATTTTTAGTCAAATATGCGCGGAAACCAATTAACCGGTGTCAGTTAAGCGATGACCTATATTGTGTTTCATATAGTATGTATTTCAAAATTCTGTTTACCCATTTTTTTGTCTAAAACATTAAAAGTAAATTTTACTTATTGGAATTGTGATTTTGTATTAAATATTTTTATTTCGTATTACATGAACATAATTATATGGTAATAAAAAAGTAAGATTTTTTTTTATTGCATTCCGTTACAAAGTAATGTTAAATTTTACGACAAAAAAGCTTAAATGATACATTTATCAAGTTACACAAGAATGAAAATTGGAAAATAGTGAAATTTAGATAATGCGAGAGCAATTTGGTTTTAACGAAATCTCGTGCGCTCTTAAAAACAAACAATTTACCTACACCAATTTGCAAAAAAAAATACACGAGAACATTTTAATAATATGATTTCTGTATTATAAAATTAACTTTTATTTACTATTAACACGCAGAACAAAATATATTCAAACATTTTTATAAATAAAAAGATTATAAAAAAATTCTATCTTAGAAAACATTTCAAATCCATTTATTTTTTTATGAGTAATCTATAAAACTGTTATTTAAGTTCAAGTAGAGGTGATTGTGCTGAAGAAAATTTCGATAATTAATATTTAATCACAAAAATGTGCTGAATGTGCACCATATTTTAAATATACCTAGTTGTATATGTACATATGTATGTACATGTACATATATATTTACATTAATGCTTACATGTATGTAACTATGCGCGGGCATTAATATAATTTACTTTTATTTTTGATGAAAGACGTGCACGTTTCAAGAATATTGTTTGAAATATAAGGGGCTGCTTTTAAGTGCATGGATAAAAAATAAATAATTTACACTGTTGTTGAAAAAGTAATGGATATAAGTAATTTAAAAATCTTTTACCAAAACTCATAAAATTTATAGCTTCGGCTCTTATGCGGCTGTGGCTAACACAAAAAAAAAAAAAGTATTATCGGAGAAACAAAAAAAAATGAAATAAAAATATAACGATTTAAGCACGATAACGGCTAAAACACTGCCATGCTAATTTATTGAAAAAGTGTTTTTTTTTAATCTATATTTTTTTTTTGTGGTAACACAGTCTTTCGCCGCTGAATCCGAATTTGAAGTCAGAATAAAGGCGAATTCTTATGAGGGGGTATGGATTTTACCAAGGTGTATTAAACAAGGTGGTGTTGGGGCGACAGCTGAGTTTTTCGCCGTGGAGGCCATTACGTCAAAATGATGTGTTTGTTGTAACTCATACCAATGACAGTATGGACATCAGCGTATAATTTGTTAGTGTAATTATTTACTTATATACGGCCAACACCACCTTGTTAAATACGCCTTGGATTTTACAAATACAAAAATTACATGCATTTTTTTCTTGCCTTTATTGGGCCATTGTCAAATTTCAGCCTTTCTTCCCTGAAGGAAGAAGAGGGGAAAAATATACAAATACTCTCACGTTTCACTCACTCAGCAAAGAAATAAAAAAATTTTGACGACAGGTGCGTTCGTCTAAAAGTCCAGTAAGATTTATCAACAATGAAATTCTTGAGACTAAGCCGGCTCCAGGTACTTCAGGTTTAGCATGTTTTACCGGATTTACAGAAAAACCTGTTTTCGCCATTATTTAGTAAGCCATGTGAAAGGTATCGTACGGCAACAGCTTCCTGTAAAATTCTGTAAATTCCTGCAAGTCCTGGAGTACATCGCAACGAGTTAATATTGAAGTATGTATAGAGAATATAATGGGAGATGCTTTCAAATTTTTACGCGAACTCAAAAGCTGCAGAAACTTGCGAAGTTTCACTGCCAGCCGGGGTGTATGATTGCATTTCAAACAACAAATTTTTCTACAATTAATTTTTTTTTTGGCGGGGGGGGGGGGGACAAAACCTTTACGTATATCTCTCCTTATTCAATCAGGTTTCCTATTTCGATTATGGTTGCAACTGCACGCGATTACGAATACAGTCTCTTCAGACGACTACCTTTCAAATCATCGGAATAATTATGTTTATTTAGGTGGTTCACAAGGTGTTGTAAGTGTCGTATATTTTATGTAGTAAAGTTTTTAATGGCTAAATAAATGTTAAGAGGACTTGAAACCACAACCAATTATTTTTTTAACATTTACTTACTTTTTTCATTAGCAAAGCGCTGGAGTTTATACATTTTCAAATTTAACGAACTTGTTTATTCAAATTAGTGTCGACAAAAGTGCAACCATGTTCCAAATCCTGCGCGCAAATTCTTACTGGCAGGAAGAATTGCAACTTCACCTCAAAATGAAATGTCAGTTTGTTCTTTCAATTTGCGCTTGCAAGTTTTTTGGTCGCAAACGCGATTTGACGAAATATTAAAAATAAAACCGCGATAACTCATAGCAAAGTAACTATTCACACACCATTCGCCTTGGTCAAAATTCAAAAGTCGGCCGGACTCTTTATTTCTAACCTCGCTATTCGCTATCGCTAATTTTAATCATCAAAAATCTCCAAAATAATAGCAAGTGCGCCTAACAACATGCAAAATCTAGTTACTTGCCCCTCACACTGCCAGATTATTCTGTTCACACATTGCATCTGTTACTTTTTCATGTTGTATACTTTTAGGTCTAACCTATTTGTCATTTATAGAATTTTGGCGACGCAAATTTTGCCTAGCAATTGTCAAAATCTTACTGCGGAAAGCTAAAATATGAGCCAATATAATATTTTTGTGCTTATAAATTTTAAGCCACTGAAGTCAGAACTGAACAATTACCACGTTTGGTATTTCTAACCTCAAACAATTACTTTGAAATTCTTCACTTCAGATTTTGATTCAGTTGCGCTTGTTGAACAAAAATGTTATTTTGTAGGACTGCCTAGCATACATTTTTAAACAAACTCCAAGAAAATTATCGCAAAAAAAAGAAAAAGAAGAAAAATAAAGAAAGCTAAGTTGCTATAATAGCGCCTTTTATAACAATATCTTATGATTTATTTAGATATTAAATATTGAATTTTTTGTTTCCTTTTCTAGCCTAATGTTAAACAAAAAAATATTAAAAATAAAATGTTAATAAGCCACAATAACATTGCCAAACAAATATTTAGCAACACCCTTTCATACGAGTAAATTTTATTTTATTTGTTATTTATAATTTTTAGATTCAAGTAATCTATGTAGCTGGTTTTTTTAATATGTTAATATTTTGTAAATATCTTTATTATTTTAGTATGCACTTTTTATTAATTTTGTTTTTGTATTTTTTTTTTTAATTTGAATTTTTAAGGGCCGTTTTCGAGCTGAATTTAAACGAAAACAAAAAAAGCTACTTCCCCAACATTCTTTGTTTGCAGCCCCTATACTTCGCTGAGAATTTGATTTTTAATATCAACAATAAATGTCCATATGTAATTGTATTTAGTTTTTACTTCAAATTAACTTTATTAAATTGCATAATTTTATTTCATAATTCGTTGAATATTTCATTTGTTTCTGTTAGACGCCCGCCCCGCGCCACCAATTAAGCCTTTTTCATAAATTATTTACATAGAAACTATTTATGTATGCATTTTATGGACGTGTGTGTGATTGCTCGTTGCCAACTCTATTCAGTTTTATTTTTCATTAAATTGTATATTCATTTATTTATTTATTTTTTTTTTATTAAACATACACGCTTACGTAAAAACTACATACATACTTTTGCCTTCTTATATATAACACATAAAAAATGTATTATTTAAATATTATAATTTTGATTTTGCTTTCTTGTGTCTTTTTAGTTAGTAGTTTACTTCACTTTACAAGCACATTGTAACTATTATTGTTTCTTATTATTACATACATTTACATATTTTTATTTACTTCTTTGAGCTAAGAACTATGCACATTACACATTTTAAGCACTAGTCCCTGTACTTCAACTATCACTATTGTTAGGACTGGTTGGCGAAGTTGTGGAATTTGTAATGTTAGATAGTGTTTCAGCTGTCGCCGATGTGGTTGTCGTATGTTCGGGCTTCTGTGTTGTTTCAGTTGTTTCATTGAGTGCGGCTGCAATTTCGCCATTAAATTGCAAGAGACAACCCAATGCACCAAAGTAACCTTCATGTTCTAGGAAGAGTGCTTTCAGTGTGCCATTGGACCAGAACTCCATGGCATAGGCGAGTAACTTCATTGAAATGGGATTGACGCGCAAGAAGTTGCCGACAAAGACGACCTTAAATGAGGAGAGGGAGAGAGCACAAAATGAAAATAGTTGGAATAGTCGAAAAATATGGTAAATTAACCCAATTAAATTGCTTGAAAATTTGCTTAAATAACAAAACATATAACTTATAGGAATCTTGCTGAAGTGATAGTCCTTGGCTAGTTTCAAGATCCATTATTTTTTAATTTAAAAAAATGCTGTTAAGTCGTAATATAACAGTTCTTAGTGCAAAGTGCGATTCCCGGTCAACAACAGTTGGTTTTTTATTCTAGAAAATCTTGTTGAATCCGGCAAAGTCTCCTAGTTTAGGCTCAGTCCATCAACTTGAAAATAAGGGTAAGTTCAGTGGTCTCAAGCGGTTGTTTCAGAAGGAAAGCTGACGAACACCATAGACGTTCCCATGACAGTCGGGTCTACGTAACCGGAACGACCCAGATTTATATCTGGCCAAGGACTGTCACTCCAACAGCACTCCCCGAAAATTCTTTGGGGAATTTGTATGATGTTGCAACAACAACAACAACAACAACGAGCACCACGGAAAAAAAACAATTTCAAAGGAAAATAGCCAATTGATTAAGGTTTTTGGTGTCGGTGAAGAACTGAACTTTGGGGAATAGGATCAACTGAAGGTCTGTTAGCCCGTATGTAAGTAATTTTTACTTCTTTCTCACCTTATCCATTTTCTCATTCAAGGCACACATTCGTGCAATTGAGCCAATATTGTTGGTAATTGTTACCAATGTTGCATTAGCCAAGTCCTCTCGCGACACCGATGAGCGTTTATCCTTAATATGCATTTGGCCAAAACTGAAAGTAGGAAAATATATACAAGTTCGGGTTAACTATTCATAATATCTTTGGGTTTAACGCTTTACTTACCTTGACGCCACCAAATCACCAGTCAAACCGAAACGATCATAATCGCCGCCATAGATATCACGCACTAATTTATCTACTTTACGATTGTCTCCTTTGGTTGCAAGTTGTATGGCCTCCTCAAATGAATTGCAGCCAGTTAGCAAACAACAGAGGCCAAGGAATGTACCGCCACCCAAGCTGTAAATGGATAGAAATCATGCTTAATAAATTTTAATGGGAATAGAAGAAAAGTACGATCATTTTTATGCATAAAAAATATTTTCGAAAAAACTACTTTTCAGCAATTAGATTTGCCATTTTGCTGCCATTCTTTTTTGTTTTCTCCTCAGTTAGAAATACATAGCGCTCTCACAAACATACCTTGTGCCTGAAACACGCTTATAATTGTCCGGACCGTAGACAGCCAGTATCGACACACCTGAGCCGACATTTACCAAAATGAATGGGTACGGCTTGGAGAAATCAAAAGCACGCTTCTCGCTCTTCCTGAAAATTTTAAATAAATCATGTAAATTAAATGAAACTTAAGATCGAATTTGCAAATACCATACTCACATAATATCACGCGCATTCTCATAAAAATAGCACTCTGTGGGATTTTGCACCTCTGCAAAAAGTATGCCTTTGATGAGCGTATCGAGTTCATCGAATTTGGCAAGTTTCATATTGACTTGCTGGAGCGCAAAAAACAAAAACGAAATATGTATTGAAAACGATTTGCTCATAGGCATAATAGGTATTCGCACGCCCTCACCTGCCGGAATTCATTTTCAAATTTGAATGCACCACCACCAGTAGCACAAACGGTGGTCACCAATTCGGCCATGCCCTTTTGCTTGGCCAATATGAGGAAATTGCCCATGTCAGTGGTTTGGAAGCGGATGAAATGCAGTGAGCCACGGCGTTTACGTATTTCAACATTGTCCATCTACATAAAAAAGCAATAGAAATCGCATATAAGTTTTATATAAGTACACACATACATATGTACATTAGAACGGGTCGATAACATATAAAACAAAAAAGTTTGTCAAACTAAACGAGTTTAATAAAAATAATTTCACGCAACGTATGAATGTAAATATGTAAGTAAAAGTTTTTGTTTTAAGTGTGTATATCATAGAGATGGGCGCGTGAGTACGCACGCTCACGTTGATGGTTTTTTAAATCACGCACACTCACGTTCTGTTAAATTTTTACCAATCACGTTCACGAACGCCCACGACTCCTAATTCTTTAATCACGCACGCTCACTCACGCTTTTTCACGGTCATATTGTTTTTTTTTTTTCAAATAAAAACTATTTATATAAATAGAATTTCATATAAACATTGACCCTTATTATGAGTGGCATTCGATTTTCAATCTTCGCTGGTTATCGAAGATTAAAAGTAAAATTCGTATTATCAGCTATGCAACAACGTGTCACGTAGAAAATCACGTGTTTTGCTCATATTTAGTATATGTGTTCACCGACTTTTTCTCTTCCTTTGCACAAAAGATGTGTAAAGTGTCATTCAGTGGCAGCGTACAAGGTCAAGCATTGACATTGAAACAAAAACCGGTGAATAAATATAAATGTGTATAGAAATACATGTATGTATGCTATGCATTATTGTGGACACCATCGCGTGTAAAACGTTAGCCTGGATGTAGTGAAAATTCAATTCAAATTCATGCGATGCATAAATCAATGCGAGATTTTGTACTGCGATTAGTGGAGAGCTTATAAATAAGTAAGCAGCGAAGGTAAGAAAGATAATTCTTGCGATTGCAACGCATCTCGAAACTCGTGTATATACTATACCTATGTATATGCCTACATATATAAATTTAAAAAAGTGCACAATATGTTGAGCTAAATCCGCCAATACCTTCTTTCTTTCAATTTCGTTTTCTTACCTTGTGAGCTAAAAAAATAAAATTAATTAAAAGGGCATTTTCCATATCCATTCGTCCTCGTAAACCAACATTTTTTTTACTCCAGAAAGTGTTCTCTTTCATTTTGGTACCCATACTGTTATTCTACATTGCACTGAATTCAAAATTTTTTTTTTTAAATAATCATATCTTTGTAATTACAAGGTCCTTTGAAAAAAACCTGACGTAAGAGAGATTTTTTTTGTTTTTGTCGCACGGTGTATTCGATATAACAAAAAGGGATTAGGTATGCCAGAATACCAATTTTTGTGCTGATTGTGATTCATCAAAATGATAAAACTCTGTGTAAAAATGGGGAAATTATAAAAAAGTTAAGCTGAAATGGCTTACTCGATTAAAAAAAATGTTAAAAAGTAGCTAATAGCTAAAAGTAAATTTCTATAGCTAAATGTCGAAAATAATAGCTAAATCTAGCTACAAAGTAGCTGGCAACACTGGTCGCTATGCACAATTGCAATTTCTTTATTATTCACACGGTTGCATGAGGCAGTACGTAATGTTTTAAACCCGTAATAACTAAATGAGAGATTGGTTGTGATTGCAGCTTTTTGACGTTGAGCTCTCTTTTCATTGTTGGGCACGATTTTTTTTCTGCTGCACAGAGGCGGGTGTATTTCTTGGCTGCAACATGAAAGTGGTACGGGTAGATGTTTGGTCATCGTGTTCGCGAGGACATCAATCAACCAAGCAGAGTCACCCTAACGGTCCCAAGATTCTAGGTGCATTCCTTATACTCATTACCCTTTAAACCTTTGTCGTGGTCCTCTTCAAAAGTAGTGGGGCCTCATCGGAGGTAAAACCACTATCTTTAAATAAATACGTGTTCCTTATGTTGCTGCCCTAAACAAATTTCTTATTCGCACACAGAAGTGCTTAATGTGCATGTAAAAGCTTACTTTTTCTAAAACTTAAAATTCATATATAATTTTGTAGAACACACCTGCAGGTATCCCTTTAAAAAAAATTTAGGGTGAGTAAAAATTGAATGCTAATTTTGGGTAAAACATTTTTTCGAGGCAATTTTGGGTTCAGTGGTTTTGACATTTCTTGTCATAAGGCAATGAACGAGTTATTTATTATTTGACAAATAGACAAAATGTCAGCTAACTCAGCCAAGGATCCGAAAGTACCTTAAATCATAAATTGCACATATTCAACTCAAAAAGAGCAAACCATATAGGCTTTATAGATATGTATAAGGGGGAAAAATCAAATATTTGGACATACAACAAATCTGTAGCTCGAAAAGCATGGAAATGGGAAAATCAGTTGTATGCGTACATATTTAAATTAAGGAGCCAACTATGTAATGCTTGGCAACTACACGCCGCTACTTTTAATTCATTCAGAGAGTAGCGGAGTCAAAAATGTCAATTAAAACATTTCATTACGTTAATTGTGGTCGAGTAGACAAAACTATGCCAACAAAAGGATTTTGAAAAAAAAAAACAAAGTGCGAAGTTGCCCAGCAACAGACAAATTACTTGCTTATGCAAAATGTACTTACAGTAGCGCGACGCACAGTGGGACGTCCCCACATAAGCTGCGGTCAAAAGTAATAAGCGTACTAGAAATTCGCTGAAATTTCGTATATGCGCTATTCGGCACTTAGGAATGAAGAAATGTGGAAAATGGTAAAATTCAATGCGCTACCACGCCCACAGCTCTCGTGGGCGGAAATAGTAAATGATATCCGATTTTTTTTTGATTTGATTTGAAATTGCGATAACGACATCCCGAAATCGTAAAAAGCGAAAAAAATTAACATATCTAATGGACAATGTGTAAAGAGCTTTGTAAAGCGTTGACCAATTGTGGAGATTTGAAGGGCTAAATTGGTAAATACAAATGTGTATACTATTTACATACATTCATTTCTACTAACGTAAACATGCATACATATGTATGCTTGTTTAACGTACATACATATGTACCCACAACCATATCCCCGATAAGCGAACACGGTTTTAGGTGCAAATACACAGCTTAACCAATTGTCATACAAACAACCATCAAAAATTAAAATGTAATGCAAATGTAAATAGACTAATCAAAAACGAGACCAACCAACTCTGGAAGTGAATGGAATGCGTACCGAAAATCGGAACGAAAGAAACGAACTAAAACTACATTGAAAGCGCTTTACACGTAATAAAAAATTGAAAGGTTACCTAAAATTGTTCACGAACAATTAAACTTGTGAAATTGGAACGGGCGCACAGTGTATTATTTCCACATTCTAGAAAATATTAATTACGTTATTTTATGTCGCCAAGTTTCAAAACAACGTCAACAATGTTTTTAGAAATGCCTGCTAAAGACGAAACAATAACAATTACAAAATATAAACCAAAGTGTAGGGCGGGACGGGAATCGATTTGGAAGATTACCGAGCGCAGTATTATCTAAAATTGTATACTTGAAATTATATCTCAATGTTTAATTTGTTGGCGTTATGTGATTTATGCAACAATTGCTAAAACACCATTTTGGTCTTATTTTTTCGGGTATGTTCTTTTTAATGAATATACATCTTTCGGATTTTAGTAAACCAGGACTGAGTATTTCATGTTAAAGTAAAACGATGTTAATTTCGATTTATTTTTATCAATTTATTAATTTCATTAGACCCGCAAACTCGTTATCCGCCACTATTCGATAAAGTTTGTATCTCAGTTTATTTACCACTCCTCTTTGACTTTAAACAACATAATTTTAGCTGCTGGAAAGTGCAGGTTTTAATGAAATATATAATAGGGTGACGTGGCAGTAACTCTAAATGACCAATTTTTTGTAAAAAGCTTCGCCTATCTTATAACATACCTTGTGAAAAATTTCATTAATCTATCTTCAATAGTTTTCGAATTACAGAATTAAAAGCAGATAAATGGGTAAAATCTTACACTGTGGGGCGGCATCAAGGAAAAGCTTGATAAATACTATGGGAACTTTGCACCATCTACTTCAATAGGTACTGAAATCTGTTGTGGTCGTACCAACACAAGTAACGGCGAACGTTCAGATCGCCGAAAAGAGGTCGTTTCGCCAAAAAACTTCCATTGCATCCATAGATTGATATCTGACGATCGGAGAATAAAGGTGATGGTTAGATGGTGGAGGTCGGAGGTCGGAGGCAACTCAACAATGAAATCAGTGGACTTTTTTCGTTTTAACGTGCACCAAGAAAGGCTAAGGTTGGCCTGTACATCAACAAGATCGTGGCGGCAGGTTTTTGTGATGCCCATGCAATACCTTGAAAGGGTATCAGGGTCATAACGGTGAATATTATTCTAAGCTGATATTGATTTGAAATCCATAGGTTTATGCGGTTATTTGGCGAAGAAAAAAGTTCTCTTCCATCAAGACAACCCAGCATGCAAAACATACAATAGAATTTCTTTCATGTGTTTTAGGAAACTGATGAAGTTCGCATGAACAATATTCTTGAAAAGCATCCATAGCGAGGGAAATAATCAATTACGTTTTCAAATAATTTTATATTCACAAGTAATTATTGCTCATATATCGTCTATAGTAATAATAAAGTGATAACGACTCATTCAGGTAATAAGAAAATGACTCGACCAGGTGAGTTGCCTTCGACGGAAGGTTTAGAGCGCCTGGTAATAAGAAATCGATATGATGCCGATATTACCGGCAATAACAAAATTGCACGAACTAGGCTACGAACTGCTCCTTTATTCAACATATTTTTCAGATTTAGCCTTATGTGATTGTTTCTTTTTATCCAGCCTGAAGATGGTAAAAGATTAGTGTTCATCACTGAAATAAACTACTGTTTTGAGGACCTGGAGAGAGAAGGAGACTTATCTTAAGATATAAAACGCTTTTGCACCGAATAGCACATTTTTTTATTGGAAAAGTCATTGGGCTTATCAAACATCCCTCGTTGTCGGCCTACAGTTTTTCACTTGCTATGAAAATGGACATACCTACAGTATTGGCCAATACAATAGCACCCCCATTTCAAGTAGATATTGTTTGCCACTCCTGTTTATTTATTAATTTTGGGAATTTTCAATTAATAATATTCTCTCACAAAACACATATAAACCCAAGTTTAAAAGTTTTTAAAAGACTATAAAAAAACGCGAAACAATTTCAGGCAAATTTCAAACTTTTTTTCTCAGAAAATTTAGAGTTTTTATAGCCCATTCAATTTTAGTCCGATAACATGCAAGTTTCAAGTGGCTAAAAATTACCGTTGATTTTTTATAATTTTTTTCGCCGAAGCTGTTGCGAGTTTCTTCCATATAAAAATGAATTGTGTTTACTCGTTATATGGAAGTAAGTGGGACAAAAAAATAAAAAAATCTAAAAAATCAACGGTAATTTTTAGCGACTGAAACTTACACATTGTCAGACTAAAATCGAATAGGCTATAAAACTGCGTACTCCAAAAAATTCTAAATTTTCTGAAAAAAAGTTTGAAATTTGGGTTAAAATTTGTGTTTTTTTGTAGTATTTTAAAAAGTTTTAAACTTGGTTTTATATTAGTTTTGTTAGAGATTGAACTATATTTTAATTGAAAATTCTTAAAAATAAATAAGTTCACATAAGTGGCAAATAATAGCACTTTGAATTGGGGGTGCTATAGACACATGTGTCCAATACTGTATTTACACACTACAGCTAAGTGTAAATAATAGCTTAATAACAGCTTAGTAAATTTCCCAAAGAAAAATTTAGCTCGCAAATTTAAAGCCTTCTCTATTAGTATATCTGGTCAATGACTTCACAAAATAAATAAATATAATTTAACTAAATTCAGTTTAACTAAAAGCGGATGTGCATAGACCAGCGCGCTTAATGCTGTTTATTCTGCTAAATGCTGAGTAAACAAATTTTAACCATTATTGACAAACTATTCATGAACATGTATGTACATTAGACCGAACCACAAAAAAAGTTCGCCGTACCCTTTCGAATCTAAAGTATTTTTGCTAGGCAATTTGGGGGGACAAAATGTTGGCCGAACTTTAACATTTTAACATTTTTCATTATACATTCGGCATTTACAGTCGGATGTTAAATTATGATATGTACATATTTATATTGAGGAGACAATTTTTTATTTGTATCAAAGTTCATTGATCTCAAGTATACCGTTGTAGTACTTATCCTCGAGATATCTGTTCTTATCGCCGCAACGTTCCGCCCTAATGTCAGTTAAAAGCTCGCTAAAAATCATTAAATTTTTGGCTAAGGAAGTATTTCGATTATTCCAGTAGAAACATTTAAACTATTTTTGCCGAATGTTGATGTTATCGAAAAATGTAAAAACCAACATTTTTTTTTAAATTTCCTTGTAAAAATACGTAAGACTCAGGGTTGTGCCGCAAACTTTTTTTATTTGCTTGTAAGGCGGTATGGTCTAATGTACATGCATATATCGAGCCCTAACCGCCAAAAAGACATAAGCGACATTTTTTTAATTTTATTTTTGATGCAGCAATGTTACTAAAACGTCTAGATGCAATTCTGAATAAAAAAAAAACATTAAAAAAAAAAATGTCGCTTACCTTATTTTGGCGGTTAGGGCTCAATATGTATACCTAGGTAAAACATTCTTAACGCGCTTTGTTATGGTTCACTAACCTGTAGATGTGTATCACGATGCCCGGTTTTGCCATAGGCAGAATTTTTAGTTAAGTATCGGCGTATATTTCTTAAAATTTCAGCCTCTTGATCCTGTTCATCGGGTGTTATATCCTTTGGCTCGAAGTAGACTAGCTTTGTAAGTGTGCCACCAATATCCATGCCGAACCATGGCATTGCTGTAAGTATAAGAAAGTAATAAAGAATTGTGAGTAAAAAAATAATTAATCAAAATTGCGGTAAAAATAAAAGTAGTTAGTTATAAAAAATTAGGGTATTAGTAAGAATAAAATGATGTTAGACTGATAGTAAGATATTGCATATTTACCCAAACAAAAAACCTTTTTGTATAAAAGGGGAAATATACGACACCAGCTTGCTGGCTCCATCAAGTGATTGTACCATTAGGCTCGAAGCATATAACTTACCAGCATGCTGGTACAATATTTATTTCTTTACAAATGAGGTCCAGGAAGGATCGAAATGATTAGAGGCGAAATTTAATAATTTTTCTACCGTTTTGTTAAACATTGTTTTTTTTTTATTCACAACTGCAATATCGTGAATTTAATCCTACACACACACGGCTTTGACTAATATAGTGCAAGAAATTTCCGCCCAAATACTTTTTACTTAGAAAATTTAGCTAATTTCACCACTCACGACACTAGCATGCTGGTACAATCATAAAATTTTCAAATAGTTTTTGAAGTCGCACCACAAGAACATACACGGTCAATCGACTTGAGGGGCCATTTAACAAATTAAGCATATTAAGGGCCGTAAACTTATCTAATTTTAAACTATAGATAAATCGTTAATAGATAAGTTAACAGCCCTAACACTTTTACAGTATGTATGTATAAAAACGTAAGGAACATACAATACATATCGTAGATGTATTTGCAAAACCGCCTAAATCGCCGTTGTTGCAAAAATGAGATTTGGTAACCCTGAACTCCATGCATCGAGATTTATGCATACAAATCGTTAAATCGTTATTAAAACAACAGATTTTTAAAATAATAGCTAGAGAAAATACCGCCTATCAAGGCAATGCCTTCAAAGAATAAACCGTTTTTTCGTTCTCCTGTAAAATTTTAGTGCCGTAAGATAGGCGGCTTTGCAATTGGGCGATGAGCGGTTTTGCAAAAACATCGACGATGTATGTATATATATATGTACATATATCAGTCTTTCTTCGTTTAAAAATTCATCTCTTACATAAATGAAAAAAAAGAGATCAAATTAAGCATATACAACTTCTTCATACCAGGTATGAATAAGTTCTTCAGAAGGCTAAAAAAGTATTTGGAGCTAGCTAAATCTAGCCACCAAAGGGTAAAACGGCAACACTGCTCCGAATCACCCGCCGTGAGGCTACAAGTATAGAGAGTGCTGAGATCAGGGATGGAATTTCAAAATTTCAAAATGTACCAAATGGACCTCAAAAATAGTACCGAAAACAAGATGAGAGTGCCACAAAATAAAATTATTTAAGGCGTTTTAAGAACAATATATTTTTAGAAATAATATTTTTAAAATACATTGAAGTAATATAATAATTATTAATTAGCTAAATTATTACAGTAAATCACTTTTATGAAGAATTCCTTAGACATATACATAAATTCATTGTAAAATTACACAGAATTCCAATTACGGAGGGGAAATACCCCGAAATATAGGTATTACCGACAATTTTACACAAATATATGTACATATATATGTACCTATATGCGAAATAATGGCAGTGAGAAAATTTGACCAGTTTGGCCTATTTTGTTTACGGATTATTTTTCGAATGATTTTATATAAAAGTCTAATTCATAATTTAATAAACACAATATATGTACAATAATCGTCATTTCAAACTTTGTACAAAAATTATAAAAAATCAGAAGGTTTTCCCAACAACAAACTTCGAATTCAGAGTTTTTAAAGAGATTGCAAGTTTTCAATTTCATGCATTTTTTCCATATAAATTGTGTTCGAAAATTTTTTAATGGATGAAAATGTATGACACCGTCAGGAAAAAAATATCAAATTTCATCGGAATATTGCAGAACTACAATGGACTATAAAACTGCAAACTTAGAAACTTTTTAAAAATTCTGAATTTAAAGCTTGTTGTTGCGAAAACTTACTTTACGTACTGCGTATTCACAATGGAATTCAGCGGTTTGTAAATATTTCTCACGGTCCTTATTTTAATTTTTAGTGCTTTAATTTTCACGTTTTGTATTTTTTTAATCTATAATGTGGTTTGTTGTTTTTTTTTATATAGTGACCTTTTATTTTAAGCTTCTGTATTTTATGATTGTCCAAAACAGGATGAATTGTGCCAAGAGTGCCTCTGTGAATGAAAGTGCCAAAAATGGTACTATTGTGCCTACTTTTCCATCACTGCTACACATGCGGTGACCTATCAGAAACGGTATAAATGTAAATACAATACAATACACTAATTGAATCTTCTCTAAGTTCTGCTTTCAGTGCAGCTAAGAGCGGTACTCTCATAGCGCTTGTCTTCCAGAGTAAAAACATCTGCCGTAATAATTAAACCACCACCTGGAACTAGTGTGAACTTGCTTATAAGTAAGTAAGGAAGGAGCTTGGCTGCCATTACAGAACTTTCTTGACTCTTCATCTTAACCAATTCACCCACGAGAAATGTGTAGCCTATCGCAGATAAATTAAGGTCTGATTATGGCAACTTAACGTTACTTAGAGGCTGTCACTTAAAAATTTTCTTAAATGGCTGTTGCTTATATTTGGACAGCCGAAACTTAACACAACTTAATACCACGTCGAAGTATTAACTAAGATCACATTGAATTGGCCTTGAAAATACTACTATGTTTTCGCTTTCAGCGAATTCACCGATGGGTTAAAAATTTTGATGAATGGTTATCTGGAGAAAAGAGCGGAACTTCTTTTTTAATTAGCGATAACTGACTCAATGAGCCTCATGCATAAAAAGTGAGCTTAAGCTCAGACTTCATTTTTGTACTGATTGAGTGAGCTCAAACTGAAGAATTTGTACTGAAAATCGATTCCGAGCATAAGCTCACTTTTCGTGCATGAGGCTCCATATCTCGAATTACTTCAAATTAGGCTTCCTGAAACGGATTGTTCCTGCAGAGCAGACTTGGATTTATCACTATGAATCGCGGCAATAGTCTATCCGATGGTACAGAAGAAATCTAATACTGTGTATGAAGTTTGAGGTATCCAATCGCCTGCAAAGGCAATATCTATTGGATTCAAAAGACATTTGATTGATAAATTACTAGTACCAGGGACGGAAAATAATCATTATTTTTTAAATTTTAACCAAAAAAATCAACACGTCCATGGAAATCGTCATAAAACAACTTTAACTATACTCACGTATTTGTGTACGTACGTCCTACTGTAATTTACAATGATTTTTATTTTTCGAGTTTAGCCAATAAAGACTAAAAATAATAATTGATATTTGAGTCTTAATTTTTCAGTCAAAAGTAATTATTATTACTTCATTTTTATTTTTTCGATCAAAGATAAAAATTATTATTAAGTTTTAAATTATTTTACTCATAATGATTACCGTCCCTGACTAATACCAATTCGTCTTTGAAACATGAAATAACTTTACATATAAGTATTTCGGAAAAGAAAAAAGGGCTTCGGGAGAAAGTTACTGATGTCGGCTATTTCTATTTTGAATGCCTAAAGCTGTGATGGACAAAAATGTAGCGCATCTAAAACGCATTTTAACCCGGAAAAATAAAAGAGTCCCTTCTTTATAAATGATTTCTATGTTCAAAGACCTGATATTTCGATTGAGATAACTAAAAACAATATTAAAAATTACAATCATTGAGAAAAATGACAAATAAATTTTCGTTTGGATTTTTCTCCGTGAAAAAGGGAAAATTTTGGAAAACACATAGCACCATCGGATAGCCCGAACAAAAATCTACACATATAAATCATAGTTTTCGAATTATTTTTCCCATTTTCTGTCTGCTTCCCAACTAGTCGAAAAGTAGCTAGTTTTGCACCGGTCAGCGCGCCTGGGACATTTGACGTGAATCGCCCTATATGTAATATCGCTAGCTTAGAGTGAAAAGTTGCTAAGTCCTTTTTTATAAAAACTCATATTTTTATACAGGAGGCTAGAGAAATTAAAAATACATCGTTTCGAAAAGGGTAAAGGTCCTTCTTTTATGTTTTCTTCTTTATATTCAATGAAAGGAAAAAAAGCTCCGGAAATTCGATAAGGCCAAAATAGTACGAAATCTTTTAATAGAGATCGAGTCCCTCTGATTCGTATGGCATTTTGCTTTGCTTTTAAAGAAGTTTTTTTCCTCTCCTGTACAATTTTCAAATTGGGACTTAGCAACGTTTCACTCTTAGCTAGCGATATGTAAATATACGAACATTTTTTTCTTGAGAGCGGCAAAGGGATTTAAGAAATTTTGATAGAAGATTTTTTTTTTCATTTCTTCAGCGACTATTTGTGTGAATATTAAAGCGAACCCCCTATTGAAAAACATTTAGAAAATTTCGTTGAATGCAACCTATCGCGCAATGGTTAAGTATTCAATTAAAAACTGAAAATACTTTATGTTAGTTATTTGCAGTAGTTTAGTATTTAAGTAGAGAAATACTACTGACCGTAGCAGAACTAAAATTATGCAAAGCAAGCCACTTTTAGTCGACTATTCATTTATTTGCTTAATCAATTAGTTTCAGAGGTATTACCAAGTGCATAGCACAGCAACTATGGCAACACAAGTTATACTATGGGCTTATAAATACAACTCATCGGTCCATTATCCATTATTTGGAATTTTTTCAAAGTATTTTGTTGTTATAAAAAAGTAAATATTGTATATGTCTATTAGTATAGCACATTACAATAGCGGTATTCACACTGGCTGATTTACTTTGTTAATTGTTGATCTTGTTGTTGATTGTTGCGCTCAATTAACGCAGCCCTTTGTTTTTGGACTGCGTGTATTTTTAAACTACTCGATCGATGATGCTTTTAGCCCAGAATAGGTTACAAATCTCAAGGATTCTTAAAACCATAAACAGTACAATTTTGCTTATTTACTTGGACATACTAATAATCAGCGTAAAATAAACTCTTCAAGTATCAAGTTGTACTCAATGTTCAAAAAGTGCACAAAAAACAAAAAAAAGGACTATTATGAGCACTAACCTGTGCGTAATAGCTCCAAGGCGTCGGCTAGATGCATTTTTAAGTGATTTAGTTTTATTTAATTTTTTTATTCAATAAATATCAAAGTCGGCGATATGTCAACACTTCATGGAAAAAAAGCTTTTATTTGAGGAAATTCCAACAGCACTTCCTTCACAGCACGAGCACTTCTCAAGAGAGACACAAAAACTCAATGGATCGAGCGGCTAAATATTGCGTTTGTGGGAACGTGGCGTAACAAAAAAAACACTAGTCACTTGATGAGAGATAACTTAGCAGCAGCAAGCGGATTTTAAAGCGTAGTTGTGGTATTTCTGCTCATTTGACATTGAATGGAAAGTGCGCGGATTTATGAAAATATAACTATGTAATTAATTTAATAAAAAAATAAATAAAGTGTTTATGTATGTATGTACATACATATTGCATATCGACAGTGATAGATAACGTGGTCGTTGTAAGATTAAAGCACTTTTGCGGGTAAGATGAATACATATGTAAGTAAATGAAAGCAATGAATATGGGGAAAAAGTAAACTAATTCGCTATAAAGCACACGACACAACTTTAGCACATGTCCGGTGACAACTGGCAACTGACTAGAAGTGTTAGCCGTGCTGTTAAAGCAACGTACTTACTTTCTACTAACTACAAATCCATATGCACGTTTATGTACCTGCGCATATGTATGTATGTACTTACGCCTATACAGATATGTATGAATATTTATATGTATGTTTCAGTATATATTTAAGTGCATAGGGGCAATGAGCAAACATACATATCTGTGGCAATATATTATAACATCTTAAGTCCAGTTAAGTCAAAATCGAGTTAATGTCATATTATGGTTCGCCTTTTTACAATCCACATTTGGATCCAATTCGTTTTAAAATTTTTCGTTTTTCGAAGAAGTTATCACGGTTAACTTTTCAACGTCCACACTTTTTGAATACATTTCCTACGGCAAAATATCTTAAGTAAAGCTAAGTTTTGTGAAATGTCTTATCGGTTTTTAAAGATTATTTCATAAAAACTTAGGTCAACATAAATTCAATATATACTAGACAATTTTTAACAGATTTAATATAATGAAACATCATATGTTTACTTAGGCGTTTATGCATAAAATATCTTTCCAGATTTCCATCACTTAAATGGACATAAGTTCTTATGATAAAATTAATATTATCCAGTAGGTAAAATGTGTCATTTTGCAGAACATCTTAAGTCTAGTTATAATGCTCTGCTAAATTCTCGTTTGACGATAACGGTGTTTTAAATTAACATAAGTTTGTTTTTGTGCGTGTTCATTTCGTCTCTTTTTCTACATAAGCTGTTCAGTTGCTGAAAGGCTGTTGAGTTGTTAAGACTATTTGCTTATAACAATGGAAAGTGAAAATCTATTTGGCATATTAGACATTAACAATGTGAGTAATGTTGATTTTTCTAGTGATGATTCGGTTGTTGATCCTAGTTTTAATATCAGTAATTTTACTGCGCCCAGCTCAGATGCAGAAAGCGAAGTTGTAAGTGTTTTACTACATACACATGCTCATTTATTGGCTGGTAATAATAAAAATGTATGTAAATTTAGGAAAATTCGAAAAGTGTTGCAAATGAAGTGGTACTAAATAAAACCTCACACACGTCGCGAAAAGAATTAAGAAACTACGGGGAAAGTTATACTTCAACAGCTGGAAAAATTGTTCCTGCTCGTGTTGTGCGCCCGCTGGAATCTTGCAGAAAAAGGTGCGCTGATAGAATAACATACGAGGAACAGCAATTAATACACAAGCAGTATTGGGGGCAAGGCTCCTATAACTTACGTAAGGCGTATGTTACTGGCTTGATTGAAATTCAAGAAACGAACACTATTAAAAGAGTTAAGCATGAAAGAAATCCTCGAAGCAGAGTGCATACATACTATTATTTTTTAGAGGTTGGTGGTAATAGAATTTCAGTTTGCCAAAAATGCTTTAGATTCACGTTATCTGAGACAGAACAACTCATAAAAACGGTTGCGAAAGCAAAACTTGAAGGATGTAGTGTCCGTGGAGATTTGCGCGGAAAGCATACGTGCTCAAGAAAACTTTCAATGGCAAAAGAAAACGAAATTTTAAATTTCATAAAAAGCTTTCCGTCATATGAGTCGCACTATACTCGGCGCGATACCTCTAAGCGTTATCTACCGAGTGATTTGTCTGTAGCTGAAATGCATCGCCTCTATGGAGATAAATACGACCATTCCGTATCGCTTTCAAAATTTGCTCAACTGTTTGGAACACTTAATTTAAAATTTAAAAAACCTAAAGTTGACACCTGCCACAAATGTGATTTGCTTCAATGTAAAATACAAGTTGCCAAATCTGAAGAACTTGAATCTCTAAAATTAGAGCAAACCAAACATCTCGATCTAGCGCAACAAGCTTATGATTCCAAAAAAAATGATAAGGGAAAATCTTTAAATGATACTACACTAAAAGTGTTTTGTTTTGATCTTCAGCAGTGCCTTCCTACACCTCTGTTGAGAACTTCACTGTCATTCTATAAAAGGCCATTATGGACCTTTAATCTTACGATGCATGACATTGCAACAAATCAACCAATATGCTACATGTGGCATGAAGCAATAACCAAAAGAGGTGGAAACGAAATAGCTTCATGCGTATTCACTCATTTATTGCAAATAAATGCAAATGCAAATCATGTTGTTTTCTACAGTGATTGCTGCCCAGGTCAAAATAAAAATTCCTTCATTGCAACTATGTTTGCTGTGTTCATGCAATTAGAAAACAATGTAACCATTATAGATCATAAATTCATGGTCCCTGGTCACACGCACATGGAATGCGATAGTGACCATGCTGCGATAGAGAAAAAGAAAAAGAAATCTTCAATAAAAATCCATCATCCCCGTGATTGGTACCAATTCGTAAGAACAGTTGGGGTAAAGAAAAAAT